AGCGACTGAAAATGCCAGTATCCCGTATCCATCTACCTAAACAGCTGCTTCTGCTGCGCCCATCGCAGACACATCTGGGAGCTTTTATTCATGGGAAACCAGCTAAGTGCGTCAGACAGATAAGAAACACTCTTAATATCTGGTGTTATATGATTTTTCCAAGGGGGTTGACTGAAGGTTTCAGTAGCTGTGTCATTTTCCCCCGATTGTTTTCAACAGGAAACAGAAATGCTCAGCTTCAGCATAGGCTTTATGATAGAACTGAGCCTTGGGCAGATTCCAGCCTGATCCTGGAATCCCAGCAGCTGATTGTCCTCCCAATCAAAACCCATTTTCTCTCCCACTGCGCTTTCATGGAGCTCAGGTCTGCAAGGTGCAGTGTCTGTTGGCCAGGAGCAAGGAAAGCCGGGAGCCTTTTCCTAACAGCACATCTGAAGTCTCTTGGGAGCCCATGAACAGTTTGTGTGTACTTTAGTGTGGTGGAGCTGGGGAGACCATCAGCTCACAGGGATGAGCCCTTATCCACTTCTCAGCATTTCACTAGAAACAAAGCAAGCCTCCCAGAAGAGATCTGTCGTGTTTCCAAAAACACGGAACTCCCTTAGTCTGTTCTTTGCCCTAATATGCATCTTGGAATTCTGCCGCCTTCCTCCCTAAATAGCTAAGATTCAAGCTAAATAAAGGTATTGCAGTTTGTTTTCAGCCAGAATATGTTAACTAAAGGAAATACTGTAAACGACAGTGCAGTCATGCCACACGACTGTAATTGTGCAGCTGATAACTCGGCAGCCAGCTCACAACTGCAGTTGAGAGCTCTTTGTTAAGTAGGAAAAGGAAAGAGAGAGTTATTAAAAATGAGCAGTCACTAAAGATTCAGGACTTACCCTGAGTCATCCCTGGCTCCCTCGTCTCCCACTGATGTTTTCATCATTACAGCAAACTTCAAGATACTTTCTGTTTCACAGTGGCTTTAGAGTTCCTTGGTAAAGAAAACAATTCCTTTCCATCGCTGAGCAGAACCTCCACATCCTTAGGTTTCGTACTGAAGATGATATTTCCAGGGGCGGCAGGGGGAGGATGTTTAAAACCAGCTTCAGGCTCAGTAGTATCGCAGAGCAGAGGACTAAACAGGCACTGAAATGAAGCAAACTACCAAGGTCTGATTTTAGCCTCTCTTATTTCTACTTCCTGTATTTATACGAACGGGGGATTTCAGGAAGAGGCAGTCTTTGGTGGTCAAGGGTGTGTATGTGTGTGCGTGCGTGTGTGTGTTATAAAGCCATATTTAGTAGCAAAGGCAGGTTAACCTTATTAGAAAAAGGGGCCTGAGACTGTCAGCTTATTCATTTCTCTAACTCAAGTAAGCTTTGTGGGAAATTGTTTACAGACTACAGGTATATCAGGAGGCGACAGAGCATAGTGAACTTTGTAAAGGATTTTATAAGGCAGCAAGGCAGTAAGTCTCCGACTGCAAATTCCTGAAGCATGTGTATTTCTATTGCTTGAGTAACTGGAACCAGATGGAGCTTGGAAACCTTTATATTTACACAGGACCTGAGAAAATGAAATGTCTAACACTGGCAGGGGACAGCTTTGCAAAAAAAAATAAAAAAAATTTCCAGTTAAAGCAAAAGTTAAGGGTAAGACTGCTGGTAAATGGACAGCTATTCGTGCTGTGAAGCTCCAGTCAGTCTCAGAGCACATTTGATCTGGAGTTACTGAAGTGGTCGAGCAGCGTTTGCTGTACTGGAAACCCGACTGAATACAGGCCAGCTGTGGAGGCTGGGGACTGACAGATGTGCTGTTAGACAGGGCTGGTGGCAGCCCTATTTGGCAGCGCTATCGTCCCGGAAATATTTGATGTTAGGAGAATATATAATGGGAAAAGTAAGGCAGGACTATGAAGCAGAGGCAGAAAAAAGCAATTCCATGGAATGGAGAGGGAGACGAAGGTCACTTTTTGCCCCTTTTTTATCTTTAGAGGGAATTTCCCAGCTTTCTAAAAGTAGACTGTGCCATACAGCCCTCAGGAGAAATACAGATCCCAGGCAGCTGCCGGTGTATCGGCACGAGGGAAAGTAGACCTCAGTGCAGGACACACAGCCAATTCTGCTGGCACAAAGCTAAGGAGAGTCAGAGGGACCTCTACGACCATCTAGTCACACCTTCTTGTAACACAAACTTTTCTCAGGGTTTTTAATCAAGCCTGTACCTTCTGTTAACGTTAGAAAATTTATCTTCTTGCTTTTAGAAGGATTTCTCTCAGAAAGTCAAAAAAGTCTGACTGAAATACTGCGTGATGGAAAATTCACCACCCTTCTGTGTAAGGCATCTTAGTGCTTAATTGTTAATATTTAAATTCACACCTGACTTTTTGCCTTAACTTGTCTAGTTTTCAATTTTCAGCTACTGTATCTCATAAGGCTCTTTCCTACTAAATTAAGGAGCAATTTGCTCCAACTCATGTAGTCATTTTCAGACCACGATGAACTCACTCAGTGAAGAATTTAGCCCTCTTAGACAAACTGGCTGGCTGCGTTTCACCCATCCCTCACCGCAGGCTTGTCAGATCTCAGCTCTGAATCCTTCTGTTGGTTCTAGGCACAGAGGTCCAAGAAAAAAATATACTCTAGATTTGTTCACCAGCTGGGCACACCTTTGAAATGCACCTTGGGTACCGGTGTAAGAACAATCTCCTGGATGCATCACACAAACTCAGCTCTACCCCAGGTTTTTGCTTCCCTCCACTTTAATTCAATGGGGACCAGACCAACTCAGAGTTTACCCTTGCTGTGCTGGAAAATAAGTTTGCTGAGACAAAAAACCACCGAGGTGTTCTGTTCTGCATGGACCTGCCCCAGATGGGGGAAATCTGCAGCCATTCCAGGCAAAGACTTAAGATTTTGCAAACCTGCATGGACCTGCCCCAGATGGGGGAAATCTGTGTTCACACAAATATGCAGCCATCCCAGGCAAAGACTTAAGATTTTGCAAATGCAGAGCATCAGTTTTCAGAGAGTGTTGGGCATTTCCAAAGATGTCGTTAGAGAAGAAGAAACAAAAGGACTAGAACTATTTAAAAGACTCAGGACAAAAATGGCAAAAATACAGAATAGGAAACGCCGGTATGTTGGTGCTATTTCAGTTTCACATGATTTGAGAGAAACTCTTTGTTTGATGTTTTTTTTCTGTGTGTGAAATCTTTCATACTATTTGCAATTTAAAGAATGCAGAGTTCCAGGAATTTGAAGTTTTGAAATTAGTTTTGTTAAAGATATTGACCAAACTTGTGAAAAAATCTTATTTTTCTGTAAAATATTTAGAATTTCTACAACACAGTTAAGTATTTCTGCAAAATATTTAAAATATGAAAATGCAGACAAATTTTAACATAAAAAACACTTCTCTGAGCTTTGCTGGGTGTTTTTTTAAGCCAGAAATTTGACAGGTTTGGAAAGTGACACTGTGTTCTTGTATCAGGCTTTGGAAGTAAACAACTATACAAAAGCTAAACAACAAAGTAATATCCAGTTCCTGCAAAATGTTACTTCTCTCAAGATGAACAGGGGAATTCTTGTCTTTTCTAGGACTGATTCACCCTTTCCATCTTAAGCCACAGCATGTTGCAGCCCTTTTTTGTATTTTTATTCAGCTGAGTTGGAAAGGTTTAAAAATGGCTTATGGAGGAAGCCCTTAAGTACAATGAGCACTCTGGCTATAATAAAGTGCTTTCAGCATATGCACAGATTATACGACAGTTCTGCTTTCCATACAGTAGGAAGTGGCTGCATCAATAATATGCCATATGATAAGAGCCCGTAGGAATTGTCATGCCTATTGTGCCACTAATCCATAGATTATGTGCCTTTTATAGAGCCTATTACATAACAGATCATGGCAGGTCACCATGTCAAACCTATGGGGGATTAAAAGAAGAGGTACTTTCCACATTCAGATTTTTATTTTTAAAAGTTAATACTGTGCATAAGGAGGAGTATTTTCCTTTCCCCAGCCTAGAAGAAGTTAGCCTAACATACACCAAAGAATGGACCCTTACGCAAAAGTCAAAGAATGCAGGATATCCCTTTTCCCCACTTCACTAGGACTCTTCTGTAGCTGCACAAAACCCACAGTGGTTAATGACAGGTTTATACAGCAAATGGGATTACAAAAGCATGCACTGTGGTTAAGAAAAATAAGGTCAAGCTTTGTTTTAACTTGCATCTCCTGGTAGTAAACTGGCTAGGAGCATTCATGAGAAGACTCTTGTCTAATGCAATTGTTAATACCAGCACATGAGACAAAGTTAACTCTTAGCTCCTCTTTTTCCAACTGCATTTAAAAGCTTTTCATCAGCCCAGAACAGACTCTACCAGAGACTATGTACATATACCAGAAGTCATCATAGACCCTGAGGTGGACTATGGGGATGTTGGAAATGGGCAATCAGGAGTAAGAGGGATTATTCCTTCTCTCCACAGTATCTTTGGAGTCCCTGTAACTGGGAAAGGAAAATAAAGGAAAATAGTACTGTACAGCTTTTGGACCTTGCTTCCATCCCCTCTAGTCAGCATCCAGTACTCAGTGTGAACCTGCTGGACACCACTGTACCATGGGACGAAGCAGCCAAAATACTGTTAATCGGGGTGTTTCTGAGACTGCTATAATTGCTTCTGGATTGGGGCCTCAGTACAGCAAACTGTGTTCTCAGCAAACCAAAACTTTCTAGTCCCAAAAGAGCAAATTGTGTGTTTCAGAGTTGCTGCAAATTAAACTGATACACTTAACTCACCCCAAATAATGGCTTGATCCAGGTGATACTCCCTGGAGCAGATGAAAACGTGGGCCTTCTGTCATTCAGTTCAGCAGGGTCCAGATTTCACGAAGAAAGTGCAGGCACGTATCCTAGTTGAGTCCTGAAATTTCAGATTTTTAACAGTAAATAAGAGTATGTTTCACATGTTCTCAAAATCTGAGAAAAAAACCCAGCAAACGCTCTAGTTGTTTATATAATTTATTGATAGTGTACATATTTTTATATAGTGCATTACAATACTGACTGCTATAATCTTTTATAAATGCTGAATTAACTATTTTTTTAAAATTTTCACAACAAAAATAATCAAATATCATGCCAACATTTTGTAACAAATTATCACATTAAATCCATTCGGATTTCATGACATATTTATCTGTACAAAGGACCCCATATCACAGAGCATTCACAGTGCATAAGGTCACAGTCATTGAAAAAATAAATAACAAGATAAATAGATTTCTGTTATTTACAGTTTACAAACCCATCCCTTTCTGTTTTCAAAGTAAGCAGTTCTAGAAAGTTTTAATTCTATTTAAAGAGGTATTGCACCTCCTAAGGGTGCACTTCAAATGCCTGCAAGTATGAAACACAGGGAATTTTAAAAGGTTCAGAAGTTATTTCAGTGATCATAAACGATTTCAAATACTTTCTCGCAACAGAGGAGATAACAGGAGCCAAATTCTACTCTGTTCCACTGATATAAATTTGGGCCAACTACCAGGACATTAATGAGCACTGGCACCACTCCCAAGAACATGAAGGCAGGAATTTGGTCAGAACTTTGCTGCAGAGTTTCAGCCATTTGAAACATAGATGCTGCTGGGGAAGCAGATTTATGAGTGTGTTCTTTGCATACACAACTGGTGTATGAATGAAGGCCATAATCTTGCAGTAAAACCCCTCTGGAAGGAAGCATCAATTAGTATTATTCTTTCTAGAGATTATACCTGTCTGGTTTTGATATATTCTGATACCTTTAGATTTTGTCACAATTCCCTATTGCTATAAATCAACCTTTAGATTTGTCTTTCAAGTTTAACACGATCATCTCAGTGATAAGATGGCAATGATCACTTACATTCTTTGTGCAAGTAAAAAGGAAAAATAAATGGAAATAAATTCAAGCTGGCAATTCTTGTAAGAAAATATCCAAATGGCATTAGTTTCCCATAATCATTCATTTCTTTCAGACAGTGCACTGTATGTCAAAAGTATGGCAGCAAGCAGAACAACGCGATGTACAAATTGCCAGAATCACTACACATCTCAGCCTGTGGAGAAGGAGCTAAATGCATCTCACATTTCAGGACAGGATGTATAGGATTTCACAGCCTTCTCTGGGGACAAAATAGCAGGACACCACACAGGGGGAAATATGAGAAAAGTGTACGCTCAAGTAATTCAGAAGTAGGCTTTTAAACATGTACACAGCGGGTCAGGAACCGGAATGTTCATGTCAGTTGAACGACATTCTTCTCTTCAGCAGAACATTGATCACTTGCATACAGGGTTTTCAAAGTAGTTTAAGGGAATAACGAAGGGTTTGGTACAGAATTGCTGGAACTAAATCCTGTCATTTACCTGTGTAACCATCATATAAATATCACCACCCAACAAAATGAAAAATCTGGAGTTCAGACTCCCACATATAGAAAGGAAATTATGTAGCTGCAGAGAATTTCTTTTGAGTGTTTAAACACAAATAACTGAGAAATCTGAGGCTTGCAATGACAGAACATTATGCTCAAAGGTGATGCATTTCAATTAGGAAGATTCTTTGGTTTCACCTGGCTATAAGTGTTATTTTAGTGTCTGTTTTACATTACATTAGGTCTAATCTTTCCTTGGCATGAATAATCAGGCAGTATTTACACATCTTAAAGCACTCTACCAAAAACATCTAACTGTAGGACACAAATAAATGTCATTACAATTGCAAGAAACCCAAGAAAGGAAGACAACAAAATTCATGAGGGATGTGTGCAACTAGACCAAACACAGAATAGAAACAAGTGTGTATAATTAAAGCACAGTCACAGAGGAAATCAAAGACGGAACAGAATCTTCTCAATAACTGCTAAGTATTAGACCAGTAAAGACCTTTTCCATTTGTTTACATGTTGACAGAAACTAATTATATGTTTGTTACAGCTGCAGCAAGCATATAAAAATAAAATAAAATTGGCACACCAATGACTGAGCCAGGAGAAAGACGGTTGACTATGCTGTACCTGTTGGGAAGACTTAAGGTGTTCTTCTAGGCTACACTTCAGCCCAGAGAGCAGCCCTTAGATCACCAAATAGTCATTATGATAACCCTAACTGTAGCTTTTTAGATTTGGACATGTAGATTCTGAGCCTGAAATCTTTACTCAGACAATACTTTATAATGCAGTACAATTGTTATGGTAAATAAATGGAATCAAACACTGCTGAACTGAATGGAAACACTCCCAACTTGCTTGCACCAGACAGGACTGCACCCTGCGGGTCTACGGGGGACTGTGCTACTCCAGTGGGACTGCAGCAGAGAAGAGCTGCTAAAAGCTCTCCTTGGCCAGCTGTAATTGGGTTTTGATCCTGCTTGTACACCAGGGCAGATGCACAGTTTTGAAGTCTGAGACAAGGAACCAGTTCTCTTATTTACAAGAGTGCAAATCCCAAGCGGTATCAGCAGAGCAGAAGCCCACAGATTCTGGCCAAAGCTTTTAATTTGAGAAAGGAACAAAATCTTCAGATTACAAAACCAATAAAATGCTAAAAGATCTGAATGTAATAGAAAACCCAGAAACCATGCTCCGCTGTCATCTTAGGACACAATCCAGCAAGGCACTTGGATATATGCTTAGCTTTAAGCACGGAATCAATCCTACTGAAGTTAAGCTTTGCTGGATATAGGGTACCTTCTTCTGAGGTGTATTACTTTTCAGTGTTAGCATGCTGGCAATTTTCAGATCACAGTAACAGTTTTCTCTCTTGCATCCACCCGCTCTCTTTTCACTCTGGAGCTGAACATTAACTTACACAACATTGTGACACACATTCCAAACTCAGCCAGCTAACTTTTGCAATGGTTAGTACAACAAAATGGCTACAGACACAACCTGAACAGCTGCGATACAGACAGAACTGCACTAACTGCAGTCAGACAAGCACAAATCACTCCGCTTTTTTTTTTTTTGAAAATGGCAAAATTTGGAGTGGTCTCCTGACCACATGAACAAATTCTTTGTTTTGTATACAGGTGAAAGGCACTAGTCCACTACTACTCGGCAATAGCCTCCTGAACTACTGATACATTCTGACGTGGGTTTATCTGAAACACAACAATTTGTCAATCAGATCAAATCTTCAGTTCCTCTGCATGGCTTGCTCTATAACTGCCATCTTTATTTCTTTTAGCATATGGATAACGACTACATAGGGACTCTTTAAACTACTTCAGATGATTATGTGTCATCAAGGCCCTGATACAGTGTCTAACAATTCTTTGGCAAACAATACATCCCTGGTCACGTGGTGGTGTCAGAGGAGAATCCTACTAATATTATTTGTAACAATAGGTGTGGCGTGATACCTGTCCCATAGCAGAAGATGCATATGAGACCACCTCATGAAATGCAGCACTAGAATTCAATATAAATTGTCCCGAAGTGGGTCTATGTTTTAGGGAGGGCTATAGATGATAGGACCAGCCATGTGATTTAAGGTGAGTATTACCTTCTGAGACTGTCTCTTGCTACAACAGAACACTCTGGTTTTCTGGAGCAGGTGATATTCAATTTAGGCAGAATAATTCTCAATGATGTCTGGAGCATTCATGGCATTAGCAAACACAATTTCATGCATTTGGACATATTTGCTACAGAATAAATTGGTGTCCCTAGTCTTCTAAAGTTGCCTGGCTCAGAAATAGAAAGGTACAGTACAATTTGCTAATTCTGGCACTGTAAACATTGATGCCCTCATCACTGTCAACTCAGCTGATCACTAGGCATACCAAGCTAGATTTTGGAACTACTTTTCTGTAGTGTAAAGACGTCTGAACTGCTTGAACTGTGCACAGAAGAACAAATGTTTGCTTGGAGGCAGCTAGTTCTCCAAGCCCACCCAACAGCAGAACACAGGAAAAAACTCATTTATTCAGCCTCTCTCTCTGCTCCTTTCAGCCTCATATCTAAGCCACCACAAGGCTTTCAGCAGCAAACTGTCCTCCTGAAAGTCAGCAGGGAAGAGAGCAGGACTAGAGAGGGATGCTCCTACAACAGCGCAGCAGCATGCTGCGCCTTCACAGCCTTTCTGCAACAGAAGGCTCATAATGATGAACATGAATTCCATCTCCTCAGCTTTACACTGCAGCAAAAATGTCTTGAATGCCTGGAAATGGGGTCACAGGCATAGTTGACACCAAATGTGTTTACTGTTATGCTTGCCTATTCAATAAAGCATTTTAATAATGCTGGTTTTGTTGACATCTTTAGGACCGGCTACTTTAACTACATACCTACTTAAAGGGAAAAACCCTAAATGGATACTAATACTGACATTTGTGACAAAGCGTAAAGCAAATAACAAATATGTTGCTTATTTTTCCTTAGGGTTACATTGAAAGGAAACAATTACTTAAAAAATTCAACAGCAGAATACACTCCTTAATTCGTACCAAAATAATTTAAAAATAGCCTTAACTGTAAACACATTGCCCAGTGTAAATAGTATTCTGCATGTGAGCTGGCTAAAGAGAATTATTTGTCATATATGTCAAAACTTTCTGATTTAGTGCTTATTTGCTAAGGTTTTATCGTATGTTCTCATTGACACAATAATGGGATTTTTTTATATATAGTCTTAAGTGCAAAATATTAATATATTTAAAAATGCATCAACTGTTAGTTCATAGATTTGTTTTGGTTTATAAACATTAAAAAATTAAAAAAATCTATGTATAAAGTTAACTGTGCTTCTTTAGAAACTTCATGTGACCATTCACATGCAGATTTAAAATATTTTTGAAGTTTAGTTGCAATTCAAAATACGCAGTCTCAGCGATCTGCAATCGTGTGACTGCTACAATGTGGAATGTTACCCATCATTTTTAATACTCTGGGCCAGATCTTGCTGTCAATTACATCCAGAGTAATTCCTGATACCGGATTTATGCTGGTGGAAAGGATATAAAAACTTTGCTTCTACTGGGGGTGAAAAAGAAGTATATCATGCTTCAAAACTTGCATGCAATCAAATCAAGGACCGTATTCTCTTGGCAGACTTGCTTTTGTCTAGGTGCTTCTTATCTGCACTGCTCAGTGTCAGACTCATCTTCATTAAGCTTCTGGGAATAAATAAAAAACCGAGAAGAATAGACCAGCTTCTTGACTGATGAAATAAGCTTCTTCCCCCCACCAATCAAATCAAATCAAATCAAATCATAATCAGGGAGGGTTTTGTTGCCAGAAAGTCTGGATTATGTTCAGCTACTACTCTCAGCTGGTAACAACAACTGATAGTTACTGAGCACCCAGTTATATTTATTTGTTTAGTTTCATCTAAATTTACACAATGGGCTTTCAAGGACCAATGCAAAGTTTTTCTTGTGGTGTAATATTCCACAAATGTTAGTTTATATTTATGTATACAGCATTCCTCATTAATAGTAAAACAAATTTTTCAAGTATGAATTTCTGCATGTAACTGTCTTCTTCAATATGCAGATACTCTGGCTTTTAGTGTGCATCATCACAAGTGATACAACATACAACCATTTCCTCTTCTTTCTCTGCCACATTGTTCACGTTCATTGAAAAGAGTGATTAATATTCAACACTGCCATCAAAAACTGTCAGTGCAGTTCCTCTATAAGCAGAGCACTTGAAGGGGGAAATGATGTCCTCAACAGTGCATGCCGTGATATGTGCCTCGGACTTCCTGGTCCTGTAGTTGAGATATTTTGACTGAGCCAAGGAAAGTTTTGAACTTGCCTCTTACTCTTCCATGAAAAGTAAATGTCAGAACCAAAAGAACTATAAAGATTTTTCTCCCATCCTCTTGCTAACCTTGGTGGTGGTGGCTGATTGTCTGCAAAAGGAGAATGAAAACCACAACAGAATGTCCCAGAAAAGGGTCATTTTAGAGTTCTGCATAAGATCCACAGAGCTTTATGACTGAGCAGCAATATCCAAACAGGAGGAAAATGCTTTGGTTGCCTCGAGCTAGCACGTTAAAAGAAAGGTATGCTTTCCTTCCACACAGGTAAAAGTGCTTGTTAGCTGATGAAGCAGGAACAACACTCAAATTACTGATGGAAAGAAGGTAGAAAAGTGAAATGCCTCCTGTCATTTACAGCACATGTAATCAGAAGAATTTCAGTCTCTCTCTTTGTTGTAGTTTAAAGTTCTTCTCGGCACATAGGGAAGTTGACAAAGGTGAAGACGTTAAACTCTATCAATATAGAGAAACACAGGAAAATAGCATAAAGAAACAACACGTAGATGCCTAATTTCCTGTCAAGTTTCCACTTATTTACATGGATTCCCAACACCTGCAAGCAAACAAAGTTTTAGTTAATTAAGCCCCAAAGGAAACTTTTGGAAACAACCATTATAAGCTAAAAATGAGTGTCTTTTGAATTAAGAGATCTTGAATGAAGATAAAAATATATTCTCAGTAATTTACAGACCAAAAAGGCAACACACGTTTTTCCGATCAAGAAAAACAATGTAAAAGCCAAAACTAAGAACTCGAACTCTGGCCCGACTCTCAGTTGTCCTAAGACCCTTTTCCAAAATATTAAGTGAACCCACCTTAAGGCCCCTTCACAAGTTCTTCAAATAACTGAGAAACAGGCCCCTAGGTGTTCACTTTTAGTCTGTGGTGCATTTTCAGTACATGGGGCACGTTCTAGTCAAGCAGCACTCATTCAGTGACTCAGTATGAACTAAAGGAATGCCCTGAAGTACATGAATGCCTCTCCCTCCAGTGTTCCCCTACAGATCCTTTACGTCCCAGTAGTACAGCAGCACCTAATGTTCATTCTTTCAACAGCTTCAGAAGAGGTGCTTGCTTTGATGTTTTGCTCAGCTCCAGAACTAAGGGGAGTTACAAGTTGCCGGTAGCAAAGCAATGAAGTCCTCATGAAGATATCTATTTTCAGTGGTGTTCAGTGCCTCTGAATTATTATTTGTTTTGTTCAAAACTCTCCCTGGAGTTTTGCAGGGAGTGTCTGTGCGAATCAGGGTATCCAGCAGAACAAATGAGACAACAATAGATGCTTCAAACTCAGGTGGCTTCCGCTATGAAAAGAGTCTTCAGAAAAGCATCAACAGCTAAGCATGGTAATGCATCTGCATAACCCTCCCACTTTTTTCCAAAATGCCAATTACCAATATGCATGCAGCAACATCAAATAAAAACGTCTACAGAACATCTTTGTTTTTTCACAGGCACTGTGCAGCATGGTAGAACCAGGGATAAAGAAACAGAAGAACAGGCTCCCACAGCTTCTACACCAAATGCATTAGGAAGTTAGTGGCAGAGTCAACAGCCTTGGTCATTCTATCACTTAAGTCATGCACAGGTGATGTGGAGTTTTGTAAGACCTTGTCATGCAACAGTGAAACCTCCAGTGATGATCCCCTCCTCTACAGAGCCTCCACAGGCATTCAGTGAAAGACGTTAGTATAAGTGGATATTTTTATACCTTTGGGATTGGATTCTTCCCACAGAGGGTTCTCTGGGAGTCAGCAGGATCAGACCTTAAGTACCAGCAAAATTGACTTTTGAAACAAAAATATTGTTTCACCTTAATTAGTCATGTATTACAACGGTAAGTGTCCTATGCTGAGTGGCATTTAGCATGCCTGCTCAAATTCCTGAGGTTCACAGTCCTCACAGACTACTCATCAAGGGTTCTGGCTATAGCACTTGACTAGTCCAGGCTGGTTTTGGAAATCAGAGGCAAGGACAAAGGGAGATAAAGCACCCCTGAGTCTTGTCCCAACATAAAGTAGAGAAGGCCTGGGGTATGCAGCTGGACACAGGAGCAAAGTATTATTGGATGTCACAGTTTCAACACTGCCACCGAGATCAATGGGACCTACATGTATCCAGCATCTCTTGCACTGAATGTCAGATTTCAGTCCTCACTGAGGACAATGGCAGCTCTTCAACTCATGGTATTGCTACAAGAATGATACTCTATAAGAACCAATGCTTTGGGGATAATAAGAATTTCCATTTTGTCCTTCTATAACGTGTAAATACCTAATAAGTATTTTGCAATTGGAATACTTGGAGACACTCAAATACTTACAGTAAGTGCCACTGATCCTAGCAAAAGTGCAACTGAATAGACCAGTCCCTTGCTGTTGATCTTAACCTGTGGGAATCAGACAGAGAAGAGACCTTTAAAACTCTCAGCATATAATACCTGTGCTTGGGAAGTCAGAAATCAATTTACTGATTTATGGTCCACCGTCTATTTTAGTGACTAGTGACTGACACATTTCAAACTATGAAAATTCATAACAAATTTATCATAACGAAGAACAGGAAGATTAAGGAATCAAAACAAATGTATAAGTAATCCCACCTCCATAAAAAAAAAAAAAATTAAAAAAAATCGCATTTTATGTTAAAAGATCCTCAGGAGAGGAGCTGTTATTCTCATCTTACAGACAAAAATACTAAGGTACAGAGAGACAACCAGGTGTGCTTGAAGCTGTGACGTAGGAAAATGACAGAGCCATGAACAGATATCCATGGCACTATTTTTCTGATGTATTCCAGCTGACAAACTGGGAATTAATTGCAGCTTGTGGAAGGAGAATTGTTCCTCAACTTCTGGTTCCTTAGCAAAGAAATGACACCTTATTTAGCAATCAATAACATGCTCAGCAGGTTGTTGGTTTGGTTTTTTAAGTTTTATTTGCATGCTTTCTTTTTAGGAATTTTTTTCTTTTTAATAGGCAAAGAAGTCAAATTAAAGATTTGCCAAGTATACATACAGTTGATCCAGAATCAATTGCCATGGTCTGCAAACCCCAGGGAACGCCAAGGCCCACCAAAATGTCGAAGACATTGCTCCCTACTGTGTTGGAGACTGCCATGTCACCAAGGCCTGCAGAGAAAAAACACACAACCTCTTGGGTAAAAACAAAGTATAGGACCATTACTCTGTGTACCAGAGGAAACTAAGGGAGAGTGATCCACATTCATCCAAGTCCCCTCAAACTGGCCACAGTATGTGAGGTAGGGAGGCAATTTCCATAATCTTCACACAACTTCTGAAAAAGGTGCAAAAATTGCTCACTCCAACTACATCTTCCTTGTGTGCTGGAGTCTTTACTGGGTGTGTGGTACCCACTCAGCATTCAAGTTCAATGCCAATTAAAAAAACCCAAGTCTTGTTCTAGGCAGTCTGCAGCCATGGGGAATCTGGAGATTATGTACTGGATTTGGTATGTGGACACATGGCCTTCATCTCATGTGAATGATGAAAATGATCCTGAAAAGAACCCAGCCAGATGGTAGTCAAATCTATTAAGCACTTCTGTGGGGCTTAATCAGCAATGATTTCACTTCAGGAACAATAAAATGCTACAGGAAAGGAAAAAAAGAGTGAATAGTGGTGAAGTCCCTAGGCATTACTCAAAATCTACTCCTCATGCTCATCAGTGGCTGGCATCTCATTGTGCACCAGAGTCAATGGATGTGAGGAAGGCAGAATTCTTCTCTGCCCCTGCTAGTTTTCCTTCAGGTGCTTTAAGTGATGAAACTATTGCATCACTTCCACAAACTGAATACTGGAAAGGAAGAGGAACTCTGATGTAAGCGGGACATGTCCCTCAAATACTTTTAGATTACACAAAGTGGAGACAGACACTACTGCACTGTTAAGTACAGCATCTTCTTACAGGAAGTTGGTGAGAGAAAGGTTATGCTTTGTATCCATATTATGTCAATCTCTACTTTTTAGATATTTGTCTGCAATCTGTCAGTAAACACCTGTCTTGAATTCAAGTAGTGCAAAGTCCCTGTATTGGCTTTAAGAGAATGGGGCTGCTTTTTGCCAAACTATTGCTAACCTTCACTTTCAGAGGAAACAATCCCTACAGTAGTGCTGCCTAATACTAAAGAAGAAATAAACTAAATAAGCAGTCTGTTCATTTAAAAAGGTAACATGTTTTCCTCTGTTCTTGTAAAAATCTGTTCACTGTTCACTTTAATACTACATATGGACAACTAATTCAGTAGGAAAGGGGTTCCATAAGAATCCTGAACACTTTTTGTAATGCTTTTTGTGAGATTTTCCTGCACACAACAAGTAATACAAGTTGGAAAATTAAATATTTTAAATATATAATTCTTTTCAATCAAGCAAAATTTAACAGCACTGCTCCTATCTCAAACTACAAAGGTGGAGCTTTTGAGTACTTAATTTATCATTTCAGAACCCTTGTTGTTTGCCCAGTGATGTGTGCTGGAGATCTTGTTATCTGGGAAAAAAAAATACTATGGGAATTGGAATAGTGGAAAAGAATACAATTAGGACCTTTTCTTATTCTACTGCAGTCCAGGAGAGCACACTGTCAGGTTTAATGTTTTTCAACAACAGGAAGGGATGCAGCTACAGGTATTTCTCAAGTGAAAAAGTAACTGTAGCGAGCCTTAATCAAAACTTAAAGATACATGAGAAAGCCCCTGACATTTCAATTGGAAAGCCGATGAGGACATAGCTGACATTTATCTAAAGCCCTTTCCAGTGTGGCTACTCATACACCCCAATGGGGGAAAGGTCTGCATTTCGATGAGAAGTATGTCTGGAGCAACATCACTTCTGTCAGATCCTCTTAAACCACTTCATTTCCCTGTTTTGAGAGGTCTCCTAGAAATCAGTGTAAGTTTCACATAGACAAGTGCTGGTCAACATATGTTCTTTGACGTAGTTTTTTAATAGCTAATAGTACAGTTTTGTCTACTACTTTTATCTTTTTACCCTGACTGATACACACCACGCATGGGATATCTGAGTGTCGAATGGCCTTCTAGAATGCTATGGTGTGCCCAGTCCCAATAAACAAAAGATACAAGGACAGGGATTACGTTGTTTTGGTTTACAATAATTAGCAAAGTGTTTTGGCTTTGAACAAGGCTCTGAAACAGTAAAAAATAAAAGCAAAAAAGAATAAAACTGCATTGAGCATTTGTGTGTAGGGAGGAAGCAAATCATAGAGCGTTCATGCTTCAGCAGACACAATACCTTGTCTTGCTACTATTAAGCTGGCCATGCAGTCTGGGACGCTGGTTCCTGCAGCTAGGAAAGTAATGCCCATGATCACATCTGGTATCCCAAGGGTGTATCCAATCACAGTTACCTGAACAGTGAGGAAAATAGATTAACCTATCATATGTGGAAAGTCTCCTCATTGCAATACAGTTATGGCATACTCTTAACTGATTTCTGCTGTGGACCCTGACAGGATTAGACTCAGGATACTTATCCATCTCTGTAAATTAAATAATTGTGGAATAACTAGCCCCAAACCAACCCTATGAAAAGGAAAAATACTTTGGGTCATATTATTCAACATTTATGAGCCAAGAAAAAGCTTCATTTTCTGTAATTCTAACAGGACATACCGATCTTTTAAGGAGGAGGACAGACATAATCCAACCTGTAGGTTTGGGTTTGTTGGTTTTTTTCCCAAGAATGGCAGGATTCTAAGAGATTCTTTTCTCAAAAAATAATAGAACCAACTTATATTATGATAGAGGTATATATTATGGTATATATTATATTATGGCAGAGGCATAAAGAGCTTATTTTATCCTGACACATGAAGAAGGAATCAGTTTCTTGCATGACTCCTGATATAATCCCAAAGAGACCAAGTCTGGTTATACTGTCCCCTGAGAGTCCAGATGCAGCTTTAAAAGATCTTAGGGACTGGCTGAAGCTTGTAGCAGAGCTCTTGGAAGGAACAGGGAACTGTATTTAGCTGGCACGTCCAAAGGCGGCTGAAAACGCATCAAGAAAAAAGGCTGAAGAGGCAGCTGAAAAGGAAATAGCCTTTTGAGAGTGAGAAGACTGAATCATGGACAGGCAGCTGCTTTCCTGCCAAGACTGCTAAGGGTGGGAGCCTTTAAGGGTCTGTGTTGTTTTCTTGAAATCGTTTGCCAGTCTCTTACATGAGGAAAACTGGACCCTTTGCCAAAGAAAAGGTGTATTTTAGGAACCCACTCACAAACCTTATTCTCAGGGGCAAGCCATGACTCAAAAAGAGAAGTGGGCATGATTCTCCTGCTGCAAGTGGTAATGGGGCATTAAGGTCTGGCTGCCTCTTAAAATAAGCTGTGTTGCAGCCTTCATGAGCACATCTCCATTCGTGAAGGGGATATCTACAAATGGAACCAAGGTAGAGAGCATGGTCTTGCAAAGGACATATGGCATGAAATGAATGTGTAGGTTTGACACCGTTATGCCAGGCAGAATGAATGGCTGGCATATGAATTTCTCCAACAGAGTCTACACCAAGAGAAAAGACAATTACTTTACAATGCAAAACTTACACAAAAAGTTGCAAAAAGTATATAGAAAATACAATCTTCCATGACAGTTAACATAAAGGAGCTTGCAAATGCCTGACACATTTGAGGAAGGTAGAGATGTTCTCGGCCCAAAAAAGATTTTGCAGGTTAAGAGCTCATGAACAAAAAATTCTTCCATATGCATGACTAGAAGAATATATATACATAAATAACTATGAGTGTATATGTGTGAGACAATACATACATTCCAGTATGAAATCAGCTGAAGGTTTCTTAACTATATTTTTCTTTAAAAGAAGAAATGGGCATATAAATTCTTCAGCAGCACACCCTACTGATTTTCCAGTTATAGTACATACAACTTTTTAGTTTTCCATCTTTTAGTGTAGAAAAAGTCAGCTTTCAATACTCCAGAACTATGGCTAATTTTTCCACGACAGAAACTATTTGAAGAACCTTCCTATTCATACTTCTTCTCTGACTGAAAAAGTAAACTTGAGAAACTGGAAAAAGGCAAGATAAAAAAATAGGAACTTATTCAAATCTTCAAGTAAATGTGCACCTGAATTGACAATTTACAGAGCTACACCTGATACACTGCTTCTCACAGACCTACGGCAAATGGGAACATATCAGCAATCATAATACTTTTCACTAAGAGGGATTTTCTTGCATTATTCCAGTCTACTCAATGTATTTTACACCACTTCTGAGCCTTCAAATTTTGCCATCCATCTGCTTTTTATGCATGTTTCAGTACCAGACCCTGTAGCCAAATTTCTAAAAGCGTCTCAGCTGATGAGGGTTAAACATTTTCATTTAAACTCCCTTTTACTAATAGGATCTGGATGTCCATATTCTCTTGAAAATCAAGCTGCAACCTTCCTGTACTGTATTGGGCCTATACAGTAAAGGCTCAATTATTTGTTCAGAAAAGAGTAGCAGAAAGCTAGAATTATAATAATTAGGAGTATGAGCTGAGAAGACTGCACTACAATTACATGTCTTTCTTTAACAAATACACAAAGGTCTATTATCTATTTTGAGCTGCACATCTCACTCGGTATGGAAAGTCCTGCTACATGCACTTACCATCCACACCATGAAATAGGAGAACAAGGCAATCCAGAGAGTGGATAAGATAAATGTCAGCATAAAATACTTCTCCCAGCGTGGTTTGCTGCAGTTTGGAATGGTGCAAAAGAGCACGAATATCAATGGCCATGTCAAAATCCATTTAATTTTGTTCATTTTTCCATCTGCAAGACAAAGAAAGGAAAGAACCAGTTTAGCTTTCCCATCACAATCCCAGGCCCAGTTACACCTCTTTGAACGCTGCAGATGATCCCAGAAGGATGTGCAACTGTGCACATCAGCTCATTTTCCATCGTACCTTTCATCTATATTTGCTCTCGTCACTCTCAGACAAGTTCTGCATCTTATAGTTAAGCCTGCCAAGGTCTATGTAAACACACAAAAGAATTGCAATGATTTAAAAGCATAGCTGCTTTTAAAATCAAAATTAACAGTCAGATTTGTTGCTCTTCCAAGTACTTTTATTACTATTAATTCAAAATTTAAAAAAAAATCAAAACCAAACAGCAAAAAAAAGCCCACCCCCTTCACTTTAAAAAAAGAAGATGGAAATCCTTGCAGTGAAAATAACTTGTAGCAGCAGAAAATACTTTCACAGGCAACAGAAGCACAGACCCAATCTCTGATCATGACAGACTTGTTTCACATTCCCACTGTGGTCACTTGGGCAGAACTTTAAACTGGTACTTAGGAGATGTAGACTCGTTAACTCTCACCAACTGCATACAGCACCACCTTGAGATGGTCTCTTCTCCTCTAAAAATGGAAACTGAAGATAACGACTTCCCTTGTACAGTTCTCCAAAATCAGCTGGTGAGAAATACCAGAGAACTGTCATTACTGAAGACAAGTACATACCTTCTAATTTTTTAAAAATGTGCACATAAGTCTCAATACGCAAAAGAGAATTATTTTGTAATTGGGCCATAAATAAGTGGGGCACTTATATGTTTCATGAGGTATCCTGCAAGTAGAATAACAAATTTTTTACCAGGCTAAACCAGAGTATCACAGCCAACAGCATGGTGGATTTCATTTGGATTTTCTTTACTTGGTTTTAGTATTATGCTAGTAAGGATTTCCCTCATTAACTGATAATGATATGCATGAGACCTAATAAAATATGCCACATTAAATATAATGGCTGATTGCATTGGAGAAAATAATCAGATACATCTTCCAGTGAAGTTATTTAGCTGTATTATAACAGGCATGTAAAAACCACTGAAAGCTCCCATTAATTTCACCAGCAAATTTCTTTCGGCAAAGACACTGTGATTTAGGATTTGTTTAATGGAAGTTTTTGTCAGTGAATTTAATTGGATTGTAATCTGTCCTCTGGACCAGTGTGCACCAGATGCAGTGAAATTAAATATTAAACACTTAAAAATTAATAATACTTTTGTAATTTATGAGGCTACTTACTAGTCTACTTTAACTTGGTGAGTCCAAATGCAAGTCTTTATTCATTTACTTGGTATGTATTCTAGTACTATATTGTCTTAAGTTATGAATCAGCTCCTTAACTTGAGATTTCACTGCAAATTCTGACAGGCCATCAACCCACCAGAGATCTTAGACTAAGCTTGACTCTTTATTCCATTTAGCTTGTGTCTGTGGAACTTCTAACACATAAAACTACTGAAGTCTTGCAGGGTCAACTGTAATTCTCGAATTTTATGTATCACTGGGGATCTACTCCAGATTTTACAGGAAAGTCCTTTTTCCCTCTGGTCACATACACTGCTATACAGATTTTTAAAGCAGTTATCTTTTATCTGTTGTGTCCAGAAAATGACACTTCTTAGGTCACATCTCACTTGAATTCTGTAAACAAAGCTGTAAATGTCCTACAGCAATCTATACCTCCTCCTGTTTAATTTGTTACAGTTTGTGTCATTAAAAGACTCCTGCTAGTTAATCTTTACTCTTTGTCTACTCAAGTTGCTAAGCTTGGTTCATAGTCAAACAAGTCAGCGTGGCCTAGGCCAGTAATTTCCTCAGTGCCTAATTCCAAATGCAGGGCGAGTGGGCGACTGCTTGACAGAAAAGAATTATGGATCCACTTCTGATCCGATGTGGGTGTCATCGGACTGACTGACTTCAGCGCTGCTACACACCGGAGATTCAGCCCCGTTTCTCTTTTCAATAGCATGAATAAAAGAAAACAAAAATGCCTGGAGAACAAATAGAGAATAAACAGATGCACTCGGCCTCTGCTGGGGAACATGTATCTTGTCAGGGATCCTGTCTAGTTCCCTGAATTACTTAAACAAATGCTTAACTGTGAGAATTCACAGCACCTCACCCCTGGCATTGCTACGCCTGCTCAGTCCCAGGAAAACCAAAATATTAGTGGAGGAGGACGTGCTTTTCCCTTATCGTCGCTCGGTTTGAATGGACGCGTGTCAGGTTAAAACTCCTGGCTCTATTAGCTGTGCTGCTTTAATCACACAATGCCAGGAGTCAGAACTGGTTTTTACAGCTAGATGGTTTATGGACGTGATATTTGCATTCATTACGCAGCATCCAGGATTGAGACAGGAACAGACTGTGGGTTTTGTCGTGTTAATGGAGAAGCTGACTGGACATTTGCAGTTAGCCTGGAATAGATCTGAACCAACATGGCCAAAGCAGCCAACTTGACACACTTCACTTTGGCTTCTCTTTTGTGTCAGGGTTTGCCAGCTTTTATAACTTCTGTACAAACCCTTAAGTATATTTAAGTATAGATATAAAAGGCTTCATTCATTTCACCTGGGTTAGATGAATACACAAACAATATACAGCTTGAAATGCTGGGGTTCTTTTAAATTTTATTTATTTTGAAATTTCTTTTTGTGCTGCTGTGTCATTTTGGTTTTGACCACCCGCTCTAAAATAATCATTAAAATGATTTAGTGATGAATTTGTTAAATTGGAATATGCTTTTAGTTCATCACAAATTGTTTTATGGTTGTTGCTAAGCTCACTAGTACCTATGTAAGGAAAAAAAATTATCATTCTCATTAAGACTATTATTCAATACATAGCTGTTCTGCAAAAACAGACAAACAGTTCCAATTCAAGGCCTTAGCTGAGCTGGTTTAATAGCAGTACTGGCCACCCCTGGGAGCCCTGGCTCTGAAGGCTCCTGTGGAAACCCAGAGCTGAGAAAAGGTGTATTTTGTTTGCTGCACCTCCCACAGCAATAATGAAAGAATATTGCCTTGATACAGAAAGCAACACCGGTCTATATTCTGTTTATTTCACCCTACTGTAAAAGACTGTAAAAGATTAGGGGTTTTTTCCTTAAATTGTTTTCCTACTTTATAGATCCATTTTTCTGTTTCTCCACATATCTGGGAGCCGAGCATACCGTGTATTTCAGAGACGTATCATTACAGAAAGGCCTGATTACAATGTTTCTGAAAATAAAGCAGCAGCCCTACAACAAACAGCTCTTTGCTAATTTTCAATACAGCTTTGGGCTTGTCATCTTTCCAGATGTTACTCTCACAATAATTACTTTAACATCCAGATAATGTCCTGGTGAATGAAGTCAACAAGACACATCACAGCACTGAAAGGAAAGGAATACTTCCTAAAGGCACTAAAGGAAGTGCCTTTTTACAGGAAAAATACTGTATCATAGAATCATAGAATGGTTCGTGTTGGAAGGGACCTTAAAAATCATCTAGTTCCAACCCCTGCCATGGGCAGGGACACTTCCCACGACACCAAATTGCTCAAAGCCCCATGCAGCCTGGCCTTGAACACCTCCAGGGATGAGGCATCCACAACTTCTCTGGGCAACCTGTTCCAGTGTCTCACCACCCTCACAGTAAAGAATTTCTTCCTGAGATCTAATCTAAATCTACCCTCTTCCAGTTTGAAGCCATAACCCCTCATCGTATCACTACATGGCCTTGTAAAAAGTCCCTCTCCAGCTTTCTTGTAGCCCCCCTTCAGATACTGGAAGGCCACTATGAGGTCTTATTCACAACATTCACAAAGAGTTGAGAGGACCTCAGTACAAAAGCGTAAAACTACATTTCCGTTTTCATTCAGATCAGAACTGTACCCTTGAAGTAAATCCCTTTATTGTCCCCATTTACTGTATTTTAGTTTGCACCATGGAGCAGCTTTGCATCACACCAATGAGATTCCCTTGGCATAAAGCTGAAACAGAGGCAGAAACTTAGAAGTGCTCCAAATAATAACAGACATGGACCAGGCTAGAGTTAATCTGAAACAGAACTTCCAAACACATATAGTGCAGACAACCTACATGTCCGTGTAGTCCTACAGTCAATAAGCTGCACAGAAAACACTTTTTCTGAGCTTAGACAGACTTAAGTCTGCACCTACATCGTCAGAAGTCAGATTTAAGTTGCTGTAGCCAGTTAAAATTGCTAGTTTTCCACTTAGTCTCCCCTTTAGAAGTGTGGCAGTCAAGCATCGACCACTGCTCCACCCATTCCCTACTTCAAAATGTGCCTCAACCTTCACATGTGAAAAAAGCATCTCCTTACACAAGGCAATTAGTGGCTGACTGATCTAAAAAAATTATAATGAAAAAAATGAATATAAAGAAAAGAATGAATCTAACTGGCACAGTGGATTTTCATAACTATATTGTTATAAATTCATACAAATCTCTAATTTAAGATAACTTGAAAAATGGGAAAGGTTTTCTCTAATTTAAGTCTATCTGCAAAATAAGAAAGGCTTCCTGGAGTTCGCTCTTGATTTCTACTTTTCCAGGATTTTGCTTTTGACAATGGTAAACTTACAAGAAAAATAAGGCACATCCAGGCTGGCCTAGAAAGATTACTATTGCCGATTTATCTGGTGCTCCACTTTATAAATTCCTTTTTTATATTTTTAAATCTACCATTTTTATTTGAAAAAACCCAACTAAACCCTCAACTGTTCTCCCAGCATAAAGTGATTTTTAAATCACCTGTCCCCTTGGTCCTAATTAGGCTTTATATTTACAAAGATATATTTACACCCACATATCATTAGCAGTATTAATTCCAATCTCAACCTGAAAATGGCAACAGTAACATACACACCTCCACACTGGGAGCTTTGTAATAATCCAGACAGCAAGTAAATTTCTGCTGGAAAGTGCTGTTGTTCATCAGAGTGGAGACCGATTGGAAAACTTTAATAAATG